TGTGTGTGTATATATATTTATATATATATATATATATATATATATATATATATATATAATAAAGAACGTCACGATATTGATATAGAGCATTTCTGCGGAGAGTAGACATACACTTTTGTTACAGTTTAAAAAAATTTATAGTAAATGTATATAATATATTTTGATTTCGTGATTTTCAAAGAATGTAAATATGGCATCGCTCGTTTGGATTATTGATTATGTAATCATAAAATTAGAATAATATTTAGTACCTAGTGTGTATGCGTAGTCTTGTCAGAAACACTTATGTTCTTTCTTTGCTGCAGATTACCATGTGTTCTTTTTCTTTTTTTTTTATCAAATAGCACAATTTTGCTTGGTATCAAAGGGCTGATATCGACTTTTTTTGTCGCTATTATGTCACTAATGTTAGTGTACAATGAATTGGTGATATCAATGGTGGTGGTTTTCGTTTTCTCTATAAATTCAGTCTTAAATATTCCATCAATCTTCGTTGAACTAAATTTCGGTATGACGTATCTAAGTACAAAAATCCCATAAACAAAACCCGTTTCGCTAAGACTTGATATGGCAATATCGCGACGGGAATATCCACTCTGAAATGTGTTATTTACGCGCTTACTTGGCTTTCTTTCTTATGTATTATTCAAATTAGCAGCTAAATTGCGAGTGTATATTTTTGCCGGTATAGCAAGGTAATATCTCTTGGATGTTGTATTAAAGCAATTCCGTACGCTCACTAAGGATGGAAAGTATTGCCAAAGCATAGTTGTGCCACTGAATCTCGTATGTATATAGATTAAAAAAATTCTACAAAAAACTTAGAGTTACTATTTCCTTTAAGAATGCGAAACCTATTACTATTATCATTTATTATTATTATTATTATTATTATTATTATTATTATTATTATTGATGTTACGGTAGTAAATTGTTGGGCGAACGTAAACTACTTGTGTTTCGTGTCTCTGTACAATGTCTTTGTCTCTGCGTTTCTTCGTGTTCTTCGCGTACGCGAGAGATAACATAAGATTCTCCTCACTGACACAGCTGCGTTCAGTTTGAGCGACTAACGCTTGTCTGTTCTCAGTTTGTGTAAATAGCGATGGGCTCAATTCCAGAATAGGATCAGAGTTTGTTGTAGTTGGCGACCTTTATAGAATATGCGACGCCGCACTCTATACATATTTGCTAATGTGAGGGCGCCCACCCCCCACATGGCCTACGCTCGCTCCATCTCACCACCGCTCGCGTACATCTGGAGGAGAGCCATGGATTCCTGCGCTTGCCGTTTCTCCACTAAAAATCTACCTGAAGCTTCTTTCAGTTGCTCGAGGAAGAGTCTGTAACAAGATTGGAACAAAGAAATTAATGATGCTGTCCTAAGACAATCACTTGATCAAATATCATAAGGTATCAATAGCAATGTCTTGATGATAGAAAGTACATTATCTTAAATAACATAAATGACTTCCAGCTCTAATTAACTTGATTGTCTATTAATTAACAAGTAGTACTTTGTTAAAATGAGTAAAATCATGAATAATTTTCAATTTTAATGATTAATGATTCTTTATTTATTGTTTTTTGTTATTTTTTGTTGACACGTTTGAAGAATTGTATAATTAGGAAGATGATCATATTAATCGAATTAATCATATTAAGCTGATGATATTAATCAAGTGATCAAAGTCAATCTGATTGTTCATTGCTTACCTGTCAGGCACTATGTCGCCTAAACTGTCAGGATCCATATCACTGAGTGTTTCCAACTCGGTTCCTCCTAGGAGCGAGATATGCGACGGGTCGCTATGCAACGACGAGACCAGGGGTTCAATGAGCGTCCGCCGTCGTCGAATTTTGTCGACTTTTGAACCACCTTCGGCGTTATCCACATTATCCACAACGATGCAACGAGACGCTGTCTTGCTGCTGCCCACAGCAGCCCATTTTTGATCACCATGCAGCACCATCAAGCTTGTGTTTCTTTCTAACGTGGCAAAATATTCCTCGTCGTCTACCTCCGTTCCTGTAATAATATTTATCAGCATGTAAAAGTGGAAAAGACTTCATCCCTTATAAAAACAATTATAGTGATCCTTACAACGCGTTGTTCTGCAACAAATTATTATATACATCCAATATCCGAAGAGTTTATTAAAACTAACAATTGCTGTATGTTGTAACATGAATGTTTCCTTACCATCCTGTTCAAGCACGATCGTAAGATCCGCATCCACGGGGAATGCCAGTCGATTGCGTGCGACGTTAGTCAGCTCCTTCAACGACGAGGCGGTGATACCCTTTCTTCGCTCCCTGGTGTGATCAACTATCTTATAAGGATTGCCCACCCCCTGCGTAACTCCGGTTGTTTCCGACATATTTCTTCTGCACAATTGGTGAACGAGAACAGGTTTTAACTCTGCTAATCGTTAACGATTAATTCTATTCGGTTTCAGTTCGGTATCACGATATTCGGAATCCCCGACGCCCAACGATAATTAAGCAACAAATTGTCTAAGTCTACAGAAAGGATTTATTCTCTTGAAGAGAACTGACTGCTGCTAAGGCCTGATTCTCGTTGCACATTAGTTGGTCCGTGTTTCGACGATGTGTCGGGGAAATTCGAGTGACCCGTGCGTCCGATGATGACGGAGGAAGGAATACGCCCTTACGCGTGAAAAATGTAACGAACACAATTACGATGAACACGGTGTGTACAATCGCTGTTTCTTATTTTTTCAGCGTTGAAGAATAGCTTCTCTTGACGATTATGCACCAGGTTGCAGTCGTACCGCTGTCCGACGATATTCCCCGGATAAAAAATTGTATCGCTCGAAAGAAGCAAACAGGTATGAAAGGGCAGTGCTCAGAATTGCGTTGGATTGACTTGAAGAATCAAGGACTTGAGCGAGAGGACTCTCCTTTTTCTCTCCTTCAACAATTCACGCGGATAAAAAAAATGAAATAGAAGGTGGAGACAACGGCGACGCGACAAAGACAGAAAGAAAGAGAGTGATGTGTATATGATGCCTTGAGTGACTGAACTGACCGTGTGTCAACCCAACACTGGGTCAACGGTGCAACTACCCCTTCTATTTATACCCCCTGTAGACTCTCTCGCAGGTATATACGCGCGAAACGAGAGACACCCCGACACAGCATCTACCCCACCCACTTCTGCCTATCCATCCAACCCTCTGCCGTAGCACTCCTACACGGAAATCAATAACCTACCCCACTCTAGTCGCAGCCGCGCTCATTTTTTATCAGCGTCGACGAGAAATTTACAAAAATACTTCAGCACGACCGTCACCAAAGAGGGCCGATGCAAAATGCACAGATTGATGAGATAATTCACGACACGTGTCAATCGATCCACTTCTTTGAAAACTGAAGGAGATTGAAAATAAAAACGAATAAAAATAATTTTGCGAATCTGCGATCTAGATATATTATTCAGATAAATATATACGAAATCGGAACGGATTCTTGTAATTTTATTTAAAGAATGAATAGATAGATATAAAACTTCATTATTTTGCACTACTTTGAAATGTTATAATATAAAAACTGCACGTGTATCACGAAAGAACAGATATTTAAAATACAATAGAAAATTTTATGTACTTTTTTATTATTTTAATAGTGAATTGTGGTATACCCGTATACAGAATATTTAAACACAAAATTCATTACAATGATAAAATTAAATTTTATATATAATATTGTATATATGTTCTATATTTTTAAATCATTAAATCTAAATTAATTTAATTATCATATACACAAATTCTTTGTTTAAATTTTGTTATTGTAATATATATTCTTGCATTATATTTATTGTAATGTTACAAAGAAATGCAGAATTTAATATTAATTATTAAGACTATAAATTCGATTCTCAAATATTTCAATCCGCTAGGAGTTTTAAATTTAAGACACAGCACTGTAGTTATATTTAGATGTCAATGAGACTAGATACTGTTTTAAGTTTAAAGTTAGCTCAGGCATAGCCCAGTTAGGGTTCCTCGGTGAGCAACATCAATTTATTCGAATGGAGTCAATCACGTTTCGTTAAAATTTTGATAGAAAATCTGAATCAAGAATGCCGTCGAATGGAAGCAAAGAGGTCGACGACAGTCAGACATGGGAATTAGCAGAGAGATGTCTATTACCTATTGCATTTTCACATGCAATTGCAGTCATCCTGGCAACTATATTAAACACCTTTGGGATCTCACAAACATCTAGCTTTGTACTCTTTTTGTTGCTATTGGTCATATCCGTAGGATCCACATTGTTCTATCATAATCTAAAGGTAAGCTATTTGCATTGTTTGTAACAAATCTTCAATACGTTATTCATTTTTTCCCCAACAATTTTATATAAAACTTTTTACTACAACTACGTAAAAAACTGTAAACCTTTCTGACCTTCAAAATTACATTAAAACACATATCGCACTTCTATAATGAAAATCATATGTCCCTCTCAACCTTTTATAATGTCATATGCTTGTGAACATTTGAAAGTTCAAAGGCCCTCTATATCGGAATTCTCATAGAATTTTACACTAGGCCTGATTGAGACCCTTGACCTTTTTTAACAAACGTTGCATAATGCACCTGTTATCACTGCCTACCATACTTCCTGCTTCATACGTTCTCTTTTTTTTTTTTTTTTTACAAAGGACTTTGAGATCGTCATCGCCCGATCAATGGATTATCTTTCAATGGATTATCAAAAGCATTATAAAGCTTCATTACATCAGCTCATGATTCAATAAATTATAAACACTATGTTTTCCTAATAGTCTACTTGATGCAACAGGTTACTGCAGCAGGAAAGGCAGTATTAATCACAGGTTGCGATTCGCGGGTTGGATACGCTTTAGTTAAACAGCTAGATGATTTGGTAATTATACATAAAAACATATATGCTCGTATGACGTAATTGAATAATTTCTCGACAACGTCTGTGATCTCTCTCTCTCTCTCTCTCTTTTTAAGGGTTTTACTGTATTTGCTGGATTCAGTAATAAAGCCGAGAATGAAGATATCATACAGAAGTTAAAAGACCACGCGTCTGGAAGATTGCACGTGTTACAACTAGATATTACCAACGAACGTGATATACATTCGACTTTCCTTTACGTCAACGAAAACTTGCCTGATGGAGCTCCTGGTATATCGCCCTATCTCTTAAAGCTTCCTGAGATTATCGGTGTAACGGATTACTTCTACGTCATCGTTGCTACGTTATTTCAGGATTATGGGCACTCGTGCATGCTGCTGCTTGGGTGACTCTCGGGGAATGCGAGTGGGTGCCCCCATCTGTTCTCAAGCGAAGCATAGACATCAACTTCATTGGCCTAGCGCGTTTGACACAGGTACTGTAAAACATTACAAAAATGTCAGAACGCGCAATATTCTCTTTTCTTTCTTTGTAACAGGTATTTCTTCCTCTGGTTAGGAGATCAAAGGGCCGAATCGTTCTTATTAGTAGCCTTTTGGCGCGGATACCGAGTCCCGTCCGAGGCATTTATTGTGCCCTTAAGGTAAATCCTCTTTGTCATGCGCATAGTTAAGCGTGGCTTGTCTATTTGTATATATTGTACAATATAATCATAAGACTGGAAGGACATTAATAAAGCTTGAGTAGATCAATAGAAGATTATAAATATATCTTAGGCTGCTGTAGAAGCTTGGGGATCATGCCTAAGACTGGAGATGCGGAGATGGGGTGTCGATGTTGTGATCGTCGAGACTGGAGAATACGTCTCCGGTAATGCATGGCTGAAGGACAACACTGCGCTGCTCGAGCAAGCTAGAGACATGTGGACTCAACTGGATCCTCAAACTCGCAAGGAATATGGTCAGGAGCTATTTCAGGCAGAAATGCTGGCTCTGGAAAAGTACACCCAGGGACCAGAAGCTGATTTAACAGCTGTCACGAGAACCCTAATGGACGCTGTAGTAAAGACTTTTCCAATGCGGCGGTACACACCTGTGACGCGCAGTGAAAGAATACAGGCATTGTGCAATCATTATCTGCCGAAACCAATCTATGACATATTGTATACAAATTGAATATATCTCTTGTATGATACATACTGACGATCAGAATATGATTAGGAAGATACATTCTTCGGTTAGACGACATTATAAGAATAAATCTTAGATAAAGCAGAGAAGCAAGAATCTTTTTTTTAGCAGATCGCATAATCATTTGAAGCACTGCCTATGCAAAACAATCGCAGAAAGATATTGTACAAATTTAATAAAATTACTTAATCAAATTATGAAACTTACATTATTCATGAAGCTCTGATTTTCAAGGCCCCTAAATAAAAACAAAGGACACTTTTTTTTTTTAATTCTACTCTATTGGATTTTAACCTGATTGAGCATAAATACACAATCCATAATGTTTTGTGTCCTTCAATATTTTTAGAATTAGTATGTCAGGGATATATTTTAAAAATAAATAATTTAATGATTTTAAATAAATATTTTAAAAACAATTTTAAAGATACATATGCAAAGTTTAAATTATAGCGTTACATAGCAAAATTAAGCATCGAAAAGATCTACAATTACGATGTGCTAATTTGGATAACACAACTTTCGATCTTTGATAGACATCGAAAAAGGATTTCTATATTATTCTCATATTTACATATTTGAATTACATCATTTATATATTCCTGTATCTATCATGTTGATTTCTTTCCAAGATTAATAAATAACATTCGTGAAAAAAGATTTCTAACAAATCTGTATTAACAATTATTACATACCTATATAAATACAATTATTTCTGATTATTTTTGCAGAAGCGGAGAGAAACCTGAGAGACCATCCTGGCATTTTTCGCATAAACGCTCGGATCGGACAGTCGGATTGTCTGATTTGCTCGGAACCTCGAAAGTCGCTATGCATTAGCGGCATCAATATCAATTTTATTAATTTATATGAACTATGTATCATTATTTTCAACACTGCGTTGATAAAATCGTAGTGTCGATAAATGGATATCGATCATGGACATAGCGAAGAATAGAACCAAAATATTATGGATATTATCGACGGGATCATAGACACTGGCTACATAGTTATTAATACCCACATTTTGTGAACATAGAGGCGGTTCAAAATAAAAGGTCTGTTCTTTTTTTTTTGTCCTGGAGAGAAAAGGAAGATAAATGAACTGGTGCAAAAATTCAACTAAAAAGGCCTTAAATCCCAGGCATGGCCGCTCTCACTGCTCTCAAGGCTCTGTTTCTAGCTCCAATAGGGGGCGACTCTGGTGAATTTCACGAATGCAAGGTGCAAGAAATTGAAGGAAAACGAGACGTCTACAAGAAACGCTTGTTCTTTCTTTCCTTCCACGAGTTCCCGCGAAATCTCTCGGAAGTGTGTCGGGATATTCGAGCGCCTCGTTCAGTCTCGTTGCAAATTATTGACTCGGGGCTATCTGGGAATCTCTCAAAAGCTTATTCCCAACCCTATAAACGCTACACGGTGTGCATCGTCAATGGTCGCGACGCCTGTCAATCGGTCGATCTTACCGTAACTTTAATCGCGAGTATCGCCTCTAAACGTTTCCGAGAGCGACGAGTGCTACTCACGCAGCATCAACGTCAGGAATATTTCACAAAGTTCTTTGCTTTGTTTCCCTGGTAAAGGCTTTTCACTGTTCAAGTGTCGTAATACAAAATGGCACTGCCAGCGAATTACAAGCAAGTCGCGATGGCTACCTCGAACATCGTAGCCTCCAATCGTAAGTCGAACAATTTTTGTTCTCTTTCCGACTTGGAATTGACAGCTTAATTTTGAAGCATTTAAACTGTATATTTGTTGTTTGTAGAACGTATGAGAGCATCTGGAGGAAGTTCGAGCAGTTCGACAAATAGTGTAAGTAGACAAACTTATGATAAAATATATTCCTGTATGAGTCTTGAGTTTAATTGAGACAATCTGCTTATGTTTAGAAAGATGCGCAGAGTCCATTTATACAAACTCCCCATAGTCATCCAGGATTTACACCCCAGAAAGTTGGAAAGAACACTAATGTATGTATTTTACTTTATACAAAATTTAAAAATATACACAACTGTGATAGATTATACAAAATATTATATTCAGTATATTAATTTACATTATTAAAAAGATTTATTATTTGTAAAGTTTAATAATGTTTATAATTAGGCTGACTCCCGTATGCCAAAACCACCCAAGCCACCAGAGAAACCTCTTATGCCATATATGAGGTACAGCAGAAAGGTATGGGATCAGGTTAAAGCTCAGAATCCTGAATTAAAGCTATGGGAGATTGGTAAGATTATTGGGCAAATGTGGAGAGATTTGCCAGAGGAGGATAAGACAGAGTTCATTGAGGAATATGAAACTGAGAAGGTACACAAAATGCATTCTATTGTATTTTTATATAATTCTAAAAGTTACTGACTCATTCACACATTACTTAACATAGGTGGAATATGAAAAAAGTTTGAAAACTTACCACAACTCACCTGCATATCTAGCTTATATTGCAGCGAAAAATCGTGGCAAGTCTGGTAGGTGTAACAAACATGGATTTAAAACTCGTAGTAAAACCTATAATGATTAAATAACTTTATAACATGTCTTTGTATTTAACGCAGCGTTGTGTGCTGCACAACAAAATAATGATGATCGAGAGAGTCACGAACGTTCATCAGGCAGTAGCAAAAGTCAAGCGGCTCAAGATAGAAGGATTGATATTTTACCAGCTGAAGATGATGATGGTACATAAGTAATAGTGATTATAAATATTTAATGCATATCTTTATTACAATAATAGTACTTATTTTAATTAATAGATCAAGATGATGGATATTCTGTGAAACATGTGGCTTATTCACGTTATACAAGAAATCATCGACTCATTAATGAGATTTTTAGCGACACAGTTGTCCCCGATGTTCGTTCTGTAGTCACCACTCAAAGAATGCAAGTTTTACGTCGCCAAGTACAATCCTTGACCATGCATCAGGTAATTAATGTAGTAATATGTTTTATAATAATTAATATCTAATTGAATGTATCGAAATATTATATTTTGAATATTTCCAGAAAAAACTTGAAGCCGAACTGCAACAAATTGAAGAGAAATTTGAAGCAAAGAAACGTAAATTCATAGAAACTAGTGAAATATTTCAAGAAGAATTGAAAAAGGTATACAATTTTTTTAAAGAGATTAATAATATTGCAGGAAACATAACAATTCTCTCTTTCAGCATTGCAAACCAGCGGTAGATGAAGAAACTTTTAACAAAATGGTAGAACGGCAGTATGATGCTCTAAGACGAGAAAGATTAAAGGGGACAGAAGAGAATCGTTCGGATGGGCCAGCGTCTAGCGACTCTACTCCAAATTCCACTCCGACTCCAACTCCCGCATCACTTAATGACGAAAGCCAGCCTGATGTAATGATACTACTAAATAACACACAGATGATTCACATAAATATTAACACATTGTACAAAGAAATATTAATACCGTCTTATTTGTACAGATCTCTGACAATGATTCGATCGAGAAGAAATGTGGCAACGCTGAAAAATCTAATGTTGAAATGAATAAGAAAATGTCACCTCCATATACCGAGACTAAGATCGAAGCACCATCAGCAGTGCAACAAAATCTTAATCAACAACACCCTACTAACTCTGGGATGTATTGCAATAACATAGTTAATCCGATTCAGCAACATCCGCATCAGCAACAAACGCAAACGCCTCCGATGCAACAACATCCGCCACCGCCACCGCCACCTCAACATCAACCAACACCTCCTCAACAGCATCAACCTCCTCAGCAACATCAACCTCCTCAACAACATCAACCTCCTCAGCAACATCAACCTCCTCAGCAACATCAACCTCCTCAGCAACATCAACCTCCTCAGCAACATCAACCTCCTCAGCAACATCAACCTCCTCAGCAACATCAACCTCCTCAGCAACATCAACCTCCTCAGCAACATCAACCTCCTCAGCAACATCAACCTCCTCAGCAACATCAACCTCCTCAGCAACATCAACCTCCTCAGCAACATCAACCTCCTCAGCAACATCAACCTCCTCAGCAACATCAATCTCCTCAGCAACATCAACCTCCTCAGCAACATCAACCTCCTCAGCAACATCAACCTCTCCCACCAATACAGCAGCATCAACCACCACCTCAGCAGCATCAGCCGCCGCCACCACCTCAGCAGCATCAAGTACTTCCACAGCCACCTCCACAGCCATCGCAATCTCAACAACAACAACAGCAACCGCAACAACAGCAACAACAACCACAACCCCAACAGCAGCCACAACAGCCACAGATTACGACGGTAATGCCGCCCCAACAACCGACTACAACAGCCGCGGCAGCAGCTGCAGTCGCGGCAGTAGTTGCGAGTGCAAATGCAACTGCAAATTCGACTCCGCCAAACATGCCACCGGTGTCCACGCCCACTGTACCCATTCAACATAATCCCCATCAACAAGGGATGTTGCCAAATCATTCGATGCCGCCACATCAGAGTGCGCAAGGAACTCAGAGCACGCAGATTTTGCCACCGCAGGGACCACATGCTCCGCAGATGATGGCACCTAATCAGGCTTACGGTCAGCAGTATCAGTCCGGACCAGGCCCGCAACAACCGCAGAACGTTCCTTTAGCTCCAAGACCACCGCATCCCACTTATAGCTATTCTCAGCAGCAACCGTATCATCAACCTTATCCACAATATACTCATCCGTATTATCATCAGCCGTACTCGCAGTATCCCCATCCGATAAGTCGGCCACATGGCCACGGTCCACATAGTCCACACAGTCCGCATTATCATCCGCAATCACCTCATACAGTCGCTTCTGAAAGTAATAATGTTGGTGCCAACGTCGCAGGTGGCACAACAGCCACCGTAGCTCCCGCACCTGGGCCCGATACCAACAATCCTCCGTATTCTGCGCCTGCAGGACACTGTGAGAACGAACGTTCCGGCCCGCCGGAGAATCAAGAGGGCCAGGTAGATGCTAAATCGGGATCTGCTTAAATATTTTTTATTTTACAAACGCTATTCTAGATTTCCGCGTTTACATGATATATCTATATTTATCTCTATATCCTTGCGCCAGCAAGGATTTGTTCGTAATTTTTTAATTTATATGATAAAAATATAATAATAAACTTGATTTTATTACGATTCGTAACACTGTGGACACAAACATTATCCTAAAATGGTTCCATATGAAATGATTATATGGTGAAGTAAAATTGAATAAAAGAACATCTGTATGCAAAATGGTTCTTTGATTATATCCTGAATTCACAGTACAATTAGTCTCACTTCACTGGTTTCATTTGCCAAAGTCCATCATTCAAATAATGACAATTTTCGATGCCTACTCCTTTATTCACCTTGATGCTACAAATTATAAATTAAATATGCGAGAAAGAAAGAGAGATTAAAAGCATATATCAAGAAAATATTTTTTACTTACATATCTTCTGTTGACAATGTTGTAATTCCAACAGCTAATGCATGTTGCTTGCCCTCAGCCATAACGGCCTACATTTTGAGTTAAGAATTTGTATCTCATCGTCGAAAAAATAAAGTAACTGTATTACAATTTTTGAAATTTATATTACGCTTAAAAGGATACGACAACTGTTTTTTTATCCACAGCCATCATCTTCGCACCCTTTGACGTTAAGCCAGGGCACATTATATTTGCACCGCTAAGAACAAACCTAATGGCACCTTTATCTACTTGTTGCATTGGAAGGAAGAATGGATCTAAAAAAATGTATATATATTATAATAAAAAATTAAATTTTTTTTTCTTATTTGAGCAAATGATGAGAAAACTCACACTTGTGTAGTAATCTCAAAGTAGGCATCCATGGGCCCTCACGTTGGCGAAAGAATAACAGATCTCCTGCTGTGTTCACTATGATCTCTATATGATCATGGCTGATCAAAGAAAGAAAATGATTAAATTACAAACAAATTTCTTACATATGCCATCATAACTCACCATTTCACAATGCGAAAAGCATCTTTCTTTGGTATTATAACATCTATATGGCTCTCTAGGTGAGGATACAACTCTAAGAGCTTTGCACGGATTCCTTTCTGTACAGACGACTTCAATTGTTGAACGCCAGAAACACTGTCCTTTTCGTCGAATCTAAGAGTTGAGATGATTTTAAGTGACATTTTGAACACAAATAATTGGCGAATATTTCAGTATTGTCATGAGTTATAACGGAAACTTGAATATTTAATGTTTATTAGAACTGCCCTGGTGAAAATTTTTCTCATAATTTTTATACGAATTGAAACATTTTTCAGAAATACTCAGAAATATTCAGAAAGTTTACATCTTCTCTCAGAATTTTTCATATAAATGAATTCTGAAATATTACGAAATTTCTTATCCCATAATTTTTAAAAAGTATTTTAGATTTTATAACATTTCATCAGAAATTATACTTACACAAAATCTTAAAAATCTTATATTTCATAATTAACATATATAAAAAATTCTGAAAAAAGATGTAGATTTTCTGAGAATGTTCCAATTCGTATAAAAAATGTGAGAAGGCTATAAAATTATAGAGAAATTCTGAAAAATTATATAAAAAATTCTGAGAAGAATTTTTACCAGAGTGGTATCCTTGAAAAAAAACGAAATGCTGAGTATTTTCTATCACAATATATATTTTAATTGCTTAAGGTGGTTCTTTAATAAAGTGCCAAAAATTTGGGATGCTTCACCAAGACCCATCCAAAATTACAAATATTTACATAATTTGGATAAAATATTAAAAATACTACGTGTATATTTTAATGAAATAGTATGGAACATGATGATAGTAAATCAAGAGCTGCATCTTCTTCTTTCGAATAAAAACAAAATGAGATTGTTTACTTGTTGAGATTAAATTTATATGCAAGTTTATGCACATAAATATTTTCCCAGAATGCCCGTTAACCCATTATTTTTTTGTGACCATTAAAATCGTAATTTTTTAAACTATTATAATCATTTTTGAGAAAAGTCTATGGTAAGATTTGTATGCAGTTAGTCGAAGAAGTGTCTGCGAGCCTTATATATCACTATGTTATACATGAAAGGTTACATTTTCAACATTTTTTTTCTCTTATTTCATCATTATCGTAGATATCACTTATCGTAGAATTTTGCACATGTCAATTTCGGTACTTCAACTTCATTATATAAAAAAATTAGATATTTCTATGGTAACTCGATTTATTAAAGAACCACTCTAAATACATCGTAGTGCTAAAAATATTCTCCTTTTACACTTTTATAATAATCAGCACATACTTCTTAAACATTTTCTTGATTTTTGGTAACACACCACCTTGAGAACTTCTAGACAATGCATTCAATTAGCTGATCATTCACGAAACGCTATTTCGTTCTAGAAACGAAAAACTTTTCTCAGCAACGTCTTTCGTCATGCGTATATATATCTCGTTTTTTCCTAAAAGTGCGGAATGCACAATTTTATTTAAAAATTATTAACACATTTCAGTTTTAAATTTTTTCAATATTATTTATATTATTTTACCAGATTTCTCAAAGAATTATACACAGCTTCGAGCATTCGAAATTTCTCTATCTAGATGCGTGTGAAAAATTCGGCGAAATCAAGGTTAAGTCGATCGACAACACGCATTCACAATTCATACTACTTGCACATCCATAAGCTGCGTTCAGCAGAACGTTTATTTTGCACTAGAGGTCGCGTCGCGCGCCGTACATTGCCATGTCTTTTTAAGGTGCAGCCACAATAGAAGGAATAAGGAATAACGCTTTCAACCTATCAGATATTGGATACACTGGAATACACGGTTTCTGATAGCTTGGAATCCTTATTCCTTATTCTTAATTCCTTATTCCTTCTATTGTAGCCGCACCATTATACTAGGTACGTTCGACAATGTAAAGCCCATGCACATACAAAAACGTAAGGCCGTAAGACGTAGTCAGTAAGTGAATTGTCCAATCACGGTAGAGATCGTATCAGACTACCGACTCTACAAGTCGGCTCGACTGCTTATCAATTGGATCAATCACAATAAGACTGACTCAATGTGATTGGTCCATGATTGATCGGCAGTCGGATCGGCTTGCAGAGTCGGTAATCTGATACGGGCTTAAAGCCAGTAGCGAATCCAATCTTACAATTTTCTGACTGATTCCGTCTTATGATCTTACGTTTTTTTATGTGCTCCCGACTTTACTGATTACGTCTTAGGGAACATCCACAGAAACTTGCATAGCCACATAAACGTATACATAAAGAAAATTAAGATGTATCCAGCATGAATATAATTTAAAAACTATTAACTTCATGTTAATAATTTGCTTATTAAAATGAAATATAATTTTTCAAATTGTAAAAACAATTATCACTGTTGTAGTATTTAATGTTTTACAATTAATATTTACAATTTTATAACAATTTTTTGAATTGCTTTAACGCATTTACTATCATTTTTCCGCATCGTGTAAACGCAGCACATAAAACTGGCGTGATGGAAAAGTGCGGAAAATACTAAAATCGCACGTAATGCATCATTGTTTTTTTGATCTTGGTATCTATATTTATGCACTCAAATTTTGTCATTTTCCTTCATTCGTTTCGACATTACGCAATTCCATCATATCAATCAGCATCAAATTATTTTAATCTCTCAAAAACGACGGTTTATTACAAGAACAATGACGCACTCGCTATTCTGCAGTATCAAATGCGCTGAGTGGTTGTTTCAATGACGCATTCTCTAAGGCTGGTATTACATGAGCGAAAATTTACAGCGGAACGAAATAACGTGATCAATCACAATCGCAGAAAAGAAGGCAGAGTAATGATTTTAGAGTTATGATTGATCGCGCTGTTTCGTTCTGCTGTAAATTTCCACTTATGTGACGCTAACTTCAGACGTAAACTTAAACCAATGAATCAGGATGTTATTTTAGGTCTACATACTCTAACGGAAATGGAAATAACAGTATTGGAAGAAACAAGATAAACTTATCCGTAACCTCGTAATTAGGTAAATTTTTTAACTAGTTGAAACTCGCCTTATGGATAAGTTTACTGCTATTTCTATTTTCGTTAGAGTACGTAGATCTAAAGCAGTATCCTGATTGGCTCATCTTAAGTTTACGTCTTAGGTTACTGTTACAGAAATTTTGTCTGCGGTAGCCTAATGACTTATTGTAGAAAGTCTATAAAAATTCAGCCAATCAAAAGGTCGATTGTGTATCTCAAAATGAGATGAAAATTACAAAAGTGAGCAAAGGTTACTAGATATTGATCAATTAAATTATGAAAATTCTAGTGAATTTGTTTACTTTTGTAATTTTTATCTTATTTCAAGATACACAATCGATCCCCTGAATTCTTTATTTTATGGAAAAAAAAAGAAAGACAACGAAGAACATTGATTGATATATTTTCG